AGAGAGAGAGAGAGAGAGAGAGAGAGAGAGAGAGAGAGAGAGAGAGAACGAACGTGTGCAATCACAGCATTGCTGCAGGCGCTCTCAGTACTCAGAGACTAAATGGCAACATTATTTTACTTTTGGGAAGAATTTAGGGAAATTCAACTGCACTCCCAGACAAACCCCTCCAGGCTCTCTGTGTGCGCGTTTCTCTGCAGCTCTGTTGTGATTTTGCCTCAACAAGCTGGGCTTTTATTGTTTTTTAATTTCCTGTTTTGTATGCCAACGCTGTTCTGCCATTTCTCTGGCACCAGGGAAGCACGTCGTCTTCTCCTCATCTATCCGGTTCATTATTCTTCTCTCACTGCCACAACGCTGAGGAAAAGCTGTGTGTTCATCTTCAGATAGGGGTCACTTTGCACCACATGCACACACATGTACACACATGTACACACATCACGCATTCGATTATCCTTCATCATCTAAAATGAATGGACTCAATCAGTAATTACCGCATCAATAATTGAGCCGACTTGTCTCTTTTTGAAAGATATGGAGAGGCTCAATGGCAAACACTCCAATGCACAATGAATGACTTATCATCCGTTCTTTCTGCAGATAACTAATATCCTAATATCTTCTGTTCCCCACCTCCCTGCATCTCCTTTCAGATTTGTGCCAGGCCAAGGTGTGGTATTGTACCCCCAGATCGGGGATAAGTTGGACATTGTGTGCCCCCGCGTGGACGGCGGGATGAGCGATGCCGTGGAGTATTACAAGGTATACATGGTGCCTAGGGAGCAGCTGGAGAGCTGCACCATCACCAAGGCCGACACGCCGCTGCTCAACTGCGTCAAGCCCGACCAGGACGTTAAGTTCACCCTCAAGTTTCAGGAGTTCAGCCCCAATCTATGGGGCCTGGAGTTCTTCAGGGGGAAAGACTACTACATCATCTGTAAGTACCCGTCCCTCCCTCAAGGGATCATCAATTAGGCCATGCATTATGTAAGTGGGAAACAGCCTCCTTACCAGCAAGGTTTGAGAAGCAGCTGTTTGTGACGTACCTGTTTGTTGTGCGGTTGTGTATTTTTCTCATTCTAGTCAATCACTGGTCAAACTGAGGTGGTGAACTGCTTTGCTGGTCTCACAATGTTGTATCGGCCAATTACAATTATTTCTTGAATAATGAATGGAACATCACAGATTAACGCTAAGGATTAGGGATGCACTGATACTGATATACTCATACTTATAAAGCTACTCCGGTGCAACCGCACCCGACACGTTAACCTCTTGTCAGTGGAGCTGAACAAGCCGCTCAGCACAAACAGTTTATTGTTACAGTCCCCACTTCACTCGTCCGGGACAGTTAGCAGCCAGCAATGTTGCGTGCACTGTCGTAGACAGATGCAGTGATTCAGTCCCCACCGCATCAATTAGTATCGCTGTGAGGTTCTCTATCTGCCCGTGCGCTCTCTCAGGGTTTCCGCCAGTGCATTGCAAGACCGGCGTAACGTTAGAAAGTGCCCGGTCGAGAAAGAGAGAGAGAGAGAGCGTGAGTGTGATGATGAGCATGAAGTCAGCAGTCAGCTGACCTAGCAGTGCAGTGTGTGTACAGTTTAGTTATTGGTGAATAAATGCGACAACTCCTCAAGACCTGTGAAGACACCCAAGCTACGTCAGCCAGCTGATGCATCAAGTAAAACATCATCATTGACGTTAGCAACAGCTCCGGCGCACTTAAGGTGAATTAACCTTGAAGGTGCACCAGATATTTCCCTGTATGTGACAAGCCACTCCTCTGGGTTCTGCTCAATTTGAGTTACTTTTTATTTTTATCATTTCTTTTAACTGGTTAACTGATAGCACAGTTAAACGGGTAATTAGGCCATTAACATCCCTTCTGCAATGTTAAAATGCCAGCAAAAGCACCATGTTGTTAGTTACACTCAGAAAGGGTAATTATATTAGTACACATAGTGGTACTCAATATCGACAAGAGCTTAAATGTGAGTACTTGTACTTGGTCCGAGGATTATGCTACTTTTCTTCTTTAAAACATAAAGTAAATATTGAAGGTCCATTTGAAGTTATGCTATAAGTCCACTCAAGGGAATCTGTAGTGTATGCAAGTCTTATTTATTGTGGTATTTGCTTATCTTTTATCATATATATATAGATAGATAGATAGATAGATAGATAGATAGATAGATAGATAGATAGA